TGTGGGCTCAGTGGGCCATTGGGCCATGCAGGGCGGGTGCAGGTGAATGTGGTAGACCAGCCACTGATTGGCGACTTCCCCACTGGGCAGGTCGGCTTCTTCTCCTGGTGTGGGGAGTTGCTGTGTGAGTTCAGATGCTGGGGTCTTGGTCTTTCTGTCTGGCCTAGGCTCCAGGAAGCCAGGGCCATGGTCCTGCAGGCACCTATGTGCACGTGGTAGAATGAAGGTGGGGCCTCAGGATGGAGGGGGTCATTTCCCACTGGCCCCCAGGGCAGCAGCCACTGTAGCAGCGGGTTTGTTTTCAAGGTGGCGCCAGGCTGAAGCCACTCAGGATGGGAGGGCAGGAGCTGCTCTATTGGGGCTTCTGCTATGAGGCTGTGCAGCTGCACAGATTCCCAGCTACTCTCCACATCAGGTTCGGGGCCTGTGAGGACTGGGGGACTCTCCTGTGGCAGGGATTGCTGGTGTTCGTGAAAGCAGCCAGGTTTTTCCAGCTTAACTTCTGTCTGTAAGGAGACGTCCCGCCTGATTCTGAGCAGGCCTCTGCAGGGCAACAGTGTGGCACAGGCAGGATGCCGGGCTCTGCTCTCTACCCTGGTCTTCCATGCTCCACAGGGATTTCGTCACTCCTTGCTGCTCTGCAGCCTACTTCTTCAGTCATCCCAGTCAGAACCCAGTTGCTTCTTTATTATTTGGGTCCCTTCCTTTGGTGGGATGGGATGTGCCAGACAACTCCAGCTGGCCATCTTGCTCTGCCTTCTTTCCCTAATTCAACTTGCGAAATGATTTATACCCTTCCCAGAGCTCCATAAATGTGCCCTCGCTGCAATTTCTCCTTCCCTCTCTCTAGGTATAAATGATTATCACGAATGATTATTATGATTGATTATAGTGAGCTCTACTGCTTAGCACAGAATGTTCCCCAAAGTCTACGTTCCACAGGCCACTGGGATGGGCCCTGCCCTACTCGCCCCCATGGCACTGTAGCACTGCCCCCACGGATAACGCTTACGGCGTGCCAGGGAAATAGAGATTAGCCAGCACTGTGCAGTTATCGAGTACGTGCTGTTTCTGCCATTGTTCAGAACATCTGAAAGTGAAGAAGTTGCTCTCCCACATGTTTGTGTAGGAGATGAAGGGGACTCCGGTAGTCACTGCTCATCCACAGAGGCACGGCCTGAGTGATTCTCCATGCACACGCTGGCAGAGAACCTCCAGGGCTGCGGTGGAGCGACACTGTGCTGGGAAACGAGAGGCCTGAGTGCAAGGCAGATTCTGTCAGCAGCTCGCTAAGCGTGCGTGAGCCTCAGTCTCCTCATCTGTGAGGTGGGTTTGAAACCTGCCAGTCACTGAGGCTCAGCGGGCACAAATGTATGAACAGCAGATTGATGGGGCTGGAATTTCAGAGTGAGAACTATCTCCCTGTTTCCAAATGTCCTGTGAGCCAGGATCCTTCCTGGGGACCCTGGCAATCTGGCCCGTACGTTTATACTCCTTTCATATGCCCCCAATAGGGTCACAATCGCTGAAGGAAATTAACAACTTCTGTTTTCATGACATTTTTTTCCTTACATTAAATGTGGAAAATGTAAACGTTTCCCAGCTCCAAACAAGCATACTGCCATCGCTGTGTGAAGTCCAGCTAACTTCCAGCAAGTTCAGCCAAGATATGAGTTTGCAGGATTTAAAACCTGGGTTTTCATACAACAGAAACCCACAGAGCATTAAAAAAATGGCTTGAGGAAAACAGGTACTTACTGAAAGTTATGATTTGGGCTGTGTGTCGGACCTAAAAAGACAAAACAAAGAGACAAATTATTAATTCTTCATGATTTCAAATACAACTTTCCTCACGTGCAGCCAACAGCAAGCATGTCTGGGTCCAGGCTCGGTGGCGGCTGGCAGTTCTCAGATGTCAGGCTCTGCTGCTGCCCATGACCACCTGCCAGCGATGCTGGAAACCATGAAAAGAGGGAAGGGTGCTTTCTGTTTGTGCCAACACTTTTAGAGGTATTTTTGGAGTTTTCCCTGTCCTTTCTCTCTCTTCTTGCGTAATCCTGATAGACAAAATCTGTTTTGCTCGTTATGAGAGCATGGTGCAGAGCTTGGGT